CTTAGTTTTGTGAGACATTTTGCCTTCTCCATCAGAGAGCTCTGGGGCCATCACAAACACAATTCCCAGGATTCGCTAGCATTGAGCCAAGGCAGTTAAAGTGGTGTCAAACTGGATTATTTCTTCAGTATGTTTTGACCCTTTTAATGTGGGCCAAAGTTTTGGATGACTGTCCACTTTTAGGGTTAGGGTTAGTGCTAGGGAATCATGGGAATTGTTATTTTTCTGAGACATTGAACCTTCTTTGTCAGAGAACTCTAGTGCCACAATAAAATTCAGTTCCCATGATTCCCTAACCTTAACCCTAACCCTAAAAGTGGACTGAATTCACACTATTTTTGACAGTCTGCAACCCAAGTAAATCTAGATAAGAAAATCCTGGAGGCCAATGGCTTTACCTGGAAAAGTTGAATGATGAAGCATGACATCAAGCAAACAGAATGCAATATTCTGTAGACTGGGCAAAAATGGAACATTACAGTTCTTACTTCTATGAAGTAGGGCCAGCTGTCTGTCAAATCAACTTTTACTTATGGCCACCTCATGAATGAAAAACTGTCAGCCTTTTATCAGTATCCCTGCTCAGGTCTTGCAAACTCAGGACAATGGCTTCCTTGACTCAATCTATAGATATCCTTAGGGATTTACAAATCACTCCATGTCCAGTCTATGGTCAGATCCAGATTAATTAAAAAGGTCACAAAGTCCCAGGTTTTATTCCTGTTTTTCTCTATTTTATTTTGGAGATCAATACACACTCTGTTTCCTGGTATGATCTGACACTTTTTATACTAGCTCCTCAAGTTACTTTATTTTAACATAGTATAAAATTGGAAAGAACAAGAACAAAATCTGGGATTTTTTCAATTGGTCTGTATGTGCCCTATGTCAGTGTCTCATGCATTAATTCATAGGTCCATTCCATCCATTCCTGACATCTTTCTTCATTTTTAAAGCTCAAGAAAACCCAATTTATTTAATTTTTATATGCATCTTTCCTTATTACATGGAAACATCCCTAACAGACAATTTTGTTTATGCAACATTTTCTAATGCATATAAGGTTTAATGTAATTTTTGAGTGAAGAACTGCATCACAAAATGTGCAGAAGCATACAGCCCAGACACTGCACTGTGATTTGCATATTAGTCCAGAAAGTTTGAATTAGATTAGCTTCCTGGAATATGTGATCCAAAACTAATTATGCAGTATGACAAATATGCTGTCTGCCACTTGCAGGAGCTGATGCTTGAGAATTTTGTTCTTTGCAGATCCCAGTAATGTAAATATATATAATATAGTAATATAGAGACTTGAATTTCCCAGGTTACAATGCAGATTGGAACATACCTATCCATTGAATTACACACTTGTGCAAATGTTATTGTTCATAGTTTGTTTGCTTTCTTCTGTTACCTTGGGCAAGTCATATGTTCTCAGCCTCAGGGGAAGACAATGGCAAACCTCCTCTGAACAAATCCTGCCAAGGAAACCCCATTATAGGTTCACCTTAGGGTTGTCATGCATTAGAAATGACTTGAAGATATACACAACATCAACTACCTCTATCTATCTATCTCAACTTATTTTAAAAAAACAGTTTGAGAAAAGAAAAAAAATAGTAGTAGTAATAGCAGTCAGAATAATAATTGCTGAATCCTATACAACCATTGCATACTATGTAGCACCATAATGGTGTGGCTGCATAGTGAATTCCTTACTTACTGGTAAGTAGTCACTGAGATTGATGGGGGACTACCCCTTGTTTATCAATAAATAACCCTACCTCTTCTTCTAAGTGATCTGTAGTGCAACAGGATGAAAAAATACCTCTGTCACAAATTCCCCTTGTGCTGAAGATCATTTGTACAAGTGGGGTGAGAACATCAGCCAGCTGCTTCCAGGGGAATGGATCCCTGTTGGCTGCATTGCATACCATTAAGTAGGGTTTGGGAATTTTCACAATCTCTTTGTGCCCTAAACTAGGGGTCATGTAGGGATCATGAATATGCAGCAGCTGCAAAGGCACAACTGTAGGTTACATATTCTTAACTGCCCAACAGGATTCTGGCTAATAATAGCAATAACACTAATACAGTCAGCACAGAACAGTCTATGGAACCACGAATAAATGTGCAAACATTAAGCATATGTTCTTTTAAAATAATTTGAAGCATTAATTTGGAAAGACAGGAGAGTGGGGATGTTTTCCATTATCTGAGTGGGATTTTTGCTTCAACAAATATGAATATGATGAAGAGGGAAATGCTAGTATTCCTCATTCTTCATATAAACACACAAAACACAACACATATAAACTGGAAAATCTTGTTTGAAGAAAATTGAATTCTTTATATAAGCTGATTATAAAATGTCAGGACAGTAAGAGGGTGAAACATGTCACTTACTGGAGTATGATTTATTACCAATTCTAAAGATGTTAATAAAAATCAATTGTTTTTTTACTTTCACTGTCATCCTAGAATGATGGATTCACATTGCTATTGCTGTACCACCTGTGTTGTCACTTTCTAATGCTGAAAAACATGATGTTTCTTGTATAATTCATTATTTCATACTCATCTGTAGTCACTCAGAAGAAAACAATATAAGGATAATAACTCTTGCCCTGATTTAATGAGTTAGATAGCAGTTTAGAGCTATCTCTTGTACACAGATTATCATGCTGCATCAACAGCTACCTATAACAATTGGATCTAGGTTCATATTTGGAAATGAAACAATGCTACCAATATTCTCACTATACAGTGTGTATACAAACAGACCTTTAAAAAGTTACTTTTTTGGACAGTAGCTTCTAGAATCCCCTTAGACAGCATGGCAATTGACTTTTCAAAGCTTAGCTTGCATAGTGATGAGAAATCCAACAAATCAAGGCACACTGTGTATACACTGTTGGCTATGTATCCAAATTATGTTGAGGCCACAAGCCTTCTCAGAATCTGATCCCAGGCTGTGAACTCCCTTTCACAGGATGTCTGCTTAGCCCCCTCCCTGCTCTCTTTCTTTTTTTCAGGGTAAGATCTTTCTACATAAGAAGGCCTTTTATTTTTAATCACATGGCATAATGGTATTCCAAAGTAGTATGTTGTGTTTATCTTACATGCTTTTAATTATGTTTTAAATTTATTTTAAATTATTTTTAATGATGTGTTTTTTATTAGAACTGTTAAGTGTTTTGTTCATTTATTTGTTTAACTTTTGTAATACAATGCTTTATCTGAATTGCTATTCTAAATTATTTTAAGCCATTTTCAGTCCTATGGCAGTAGAAAGACAGGGTACAAAATGAGTGAATGCATAACTTAACAGTCAGTCTCCATTTATAGAAGGATGTTTTATCCAGTGGAAGTTTTTGTCAGATAATTTTTTTCATTATCACTCATTATCACCAAATGGCACAATACCATGCTATCATAATTCTGCCTGTTCCAAGTGTCACATGGAACAACTGTTTGGAATATATTGTTGCATAAGGTAAGTAGCTTTGGAAAACTGCTGTATTGAAATATTATGTGATCTTGGCCTAGCATGGCGTGGGTGGTAATTTATATTTTACAATGATAAAGAACAGAATTAAGGTTGTTTTTGTTTAATATACCTGCATTCCATTATACATGTATATTTTACAGAGGGAAGCATGATAATAACAAAAGTGAAGCAAAAGTACCATATGCTCTAATAATGGAATTATTTGCTGGTTTTCATCAAAACACCCTGCACACAAAGTACATTCAAAGTGAAACCCAACAGCAGTTTCTGATGGACATGTTTGCCAAGGTTATTCAAAACAATTAATAATAATGTATAATTAAATATGATAATCACCATTTTTGTTTGGTAACCTGAGAGGTACTGTTTGTTTCCAGAGTGACTTAGGTGACAGGATAGGTAGGTAGATCAGTAGCTGTTGACTTTAATCTGCCATTGTTTAGTGAGATCTGATATGTCCTGAGCTCTGGTGGGTACACACACACACACACACACACACAAGGAAATGTAAGCAGGAAAAAAGCAGGCTATTTTAAAGGTAAGAATGTTTATGATTTATGTTTCTGTGTGGGGAAAGGAGTCTCTCTGTGTGTGCAAGCTAGGGAAAGAGGCAATATTTGGTGGGCATTGCCAAATGCTCTTAACAGAGATTTTTAGTGTGAAGGAAGGTTGCAATGCTGAAAAATTTCCAAACTCCAAAGCATCACACCTTTCAAAACAGCAGCATATACAGGGGGAGAAGTCCAATGCAATAAAGCCCAAGTAATTAAGTCCAGGACTAGTCACTCAACTTGAATTGTTTCCTATTAATCCTGCATTGTTCTGTTCCTCATCCATTTCTGTGATAAGTAATGGTCCTGAGGGTAGTGATTGTTGATAGAACATACCAGGGTCCATAGGTTTGGTTCAAATGAATGAAAATGAGCAATTGCAAAAATGGTAACTATAATAAAATTTAGCAGGAGAAGCAATAGTTTACTCCTTGAACTATGCTGATGATTAAAGTTGAAATCATTTGTTTTTCTTAAGTCAGAGATCTGATTTGCACATTATTTTGAATAATGTGGTTGCAA